GTTGAAGTCCAGACGTCTTAAAGTTGCTAAGATTGAGAAACACTGCTGTAGGCAGGTGAGAACCTGTACCTGAGCCAGGAACAGGATCCAGCTGCAAATAAGGCAAACATGATTTGGGGCAACCCCAGTTTTCAAACTGTCAGAAGGGACTCTTCTACTTATTTTGTACTTGCTGGTTTTTATCTGGAGTTCTGTGCCCAAGGTTGAAAACCACATTTAAGAAAAAGATAAGTCAGTTGGCCTGATTCACAATAACATGAGTTATTATGCACAATTGGATGTTCGGTGAACATATTAGTTGGGTTCACGCAACACTTCAAGTCATTAAGCCATTGGTATGGATCTTAAACAATCAGCTTGGGTCATAAAATATCCCATTTTGCAAACCACTGTGGCGGAGTTCAGCTGGTCATCCCACCAGCCACCTTATGGCTTAATGGGATGTGTGAATCGGATCACTCTCTGCAAAACATGTCCTTGTGCACCATGGCTTATGGTGTAGTATGCTGAGCAATTCCAGACATTCTGGTTCATAAATTGGTGTTTGGCTCAATGTTTCCAAGCTGCCTGACTTCCAAATGTGTAGACATCAACTCCCAGAATTCCCCAGCCAACATGGCCTTTGCTGAGCAGGTTGGGAAACAAGGGCTTACAACGTTTAACCTGGTGCAGCAGATTTCTGAACTTGGAGCCCTCCGGATGTGCTGCCCTTAAAACTCCCAGAATTCCCCAGCCAACATGGCCTTTGCTGAGCAAGTTGGGAAACAGGGGCTTACAACGTTTAACCCGGTACAGCAGATTTCTGAACTTGGAGCCCTCCAGATGTGCTGCCCTTTAACTCCCAGAATTCCCAGTCAGTGAAGTTCAATAGGGCCCTCAATGCAGGCACAGTGGAGTAAGAGAGGCTAATAGGAGAAGCTCGTCAGTATGTACATTAATGCTTTGGAAGTGGACTATCTCTGAGTGAATCTCTTCTTCAAATGGTGTTCTTTACAACCCAGGTGTTACTTAGGAGTCTCAGGAAAGGACTTCCATGGTTCAGTGGTTGGCTACGTACCCGGCCTCCCATCTGTCGAGCTGGACCTGAAGGGAAACCTGCACTGCCATTCCAGTTGGGCATCCAGCAGTGGCAATAATGCTGAGAAGAAGCGAGCTCGCCAGAAGCTCTACCTGGCCTCTGTCATCTGCTTGGTCTTCATGACGGGGGAAGTTGCAGGTGGGCTGCAACATTTTGAATGCTCGGCGGGGTCCTCGGAGGCCGCTCTTGGAGGAGAGCTGGTGGTTGGAGTGATCCAGTGGCACCTCCAAATCGAGGGCGAATGGGTACAAATTGTTGGGGCAACTTGGTAGAGAGTCAAAAAAGATGACCTTGATGGAGATAGGTGAGAACCTAGAGAAAAGGGGCTGAAATGTTTTTAAGCCCTGGGAAACAAGATAATATCCAGAAGTGGCTGACACCTCCCTGATTCAGTGGAGTATCAGAAGGAGGAAGAGGTAACAGCACAATCAGACTTGTGAGAGTCTGTTATTATAGCCTAGTCTTTCTCAACCTTGGCAACTTGAAGACGTGTGGACTTCAACTCCTAGAGTTCTCCCGCCCGCCCCCCTTGCGGGGGGGGGTGTGGGGGGGAGGGTCAAAAACGCTGTAGGTCGCCACGGCGGAGGAGAGGAAGGCGGAAAAAAAAAAAA